CTCGCCCTCTTCATGCCCACCTGTATCCCCCTGCATTTGCAGAGACAGTTCTGCCAGCCAGTGCAGGGCAACCTTGTCTGGGACTTACTGTTTCTGGGCTCTAGTGCCACTGCTGTCCTCCAGCTTCTGGAGAGCTGGGATGAGGAGCAGGGTTATGCATGGGCAGAGTCTTATGCCCCTGGGTATTTACCATTGCAGTGTAAGGCACAGACCTGTTGTATATGTAGGTTTAGCGGTTGAAGCCTCTAATTTTCTCTGCTTGACTTTGTTTACTCAGCAGAAGACCTTAAAGCAACTTTCCTGCTGCTGCAGGGATATCAGAGTCTGGTGATGCCACAGGCAGGATGCAAACAGGGAACACGGGGGCTCATGCACAAAGCTGTCTTGAATAATCTTTATCTCTAGATCTTGAATATCTTCAATCTTAAATAATCTCTGTACTTCCTCTTCCTGCATGTGTGATGCACTCTAATGGCAAGAGCTAGGCTGCCCCTTTAACATCTCCAACCTCCCACACAAAGTAAGCAGCTCCCAGGATGGGTTCAGTGGGTTTGGAGATGCTTCTGTGGTTTTATGAGAATGTTGTACATGGGAGGTTGCTTTTTCTTTTCTCTGTACTGGTGACATGTCATCTTTGCTTCAGTGGCTGGTTTCTGGATACCATGCTTTAAAATAGAGATGTAGACAAACTGGCAAAAGGCCAGAGAAGAGGAGCACTAATTGTCAGAGCTTTAGAAAACATGACCTCTGAGGAGAGGTTGAAGAAATGAGGTGCATTCAATTTAGGCAAGACAGTGTTGGTGGGGGAGGGAGAGGGATGTCATGGTTTCTCAGTACATAAAAGCTGTTGTTAAGGAAGGATGACTGATTTATTCTTTTGCTATCGTTGGGGGGAAATGATGAGACAAAACTACACTTACACTGCAGAGAAGGTTTAGTTTGGATATTTAGGAAAAGGCTAAGTGCAGTGAAATGCAGCAAGAGATTGTCCAGGGGAGCTGTGAAATTTCTGACTGGTGGTTTAAAGAAACCCTGGTCTGCTTCTGTGAAAGGTATGGTCTGTGCAACCTCCCAGGCTCCCCGTGAGTGCCTTTGTTACTGTATTTTAGGCTAAAGGGTAGATTTGAGGCTGATGCATGTCCCTTAGCAACCACAAGCCTTGGCTCTGCCAGCATTGCCAAGCTCACATGGTCAGAAACGCATGAACCAGACTCCTCAGAGCATTGGCTGTAGTTCATGAAAATGGTGTGGCTATAGTGGATGATAAAGTAAGCTTTGTTTATCTGCCCACTGTTTCTGAGTCTTTCTGGCTGAGTCTGTATTGCAATTGGAGATCTGATGGCAGAGAAGCCCAAGCTTGCTCTAGTCTAACTTTCTTGGCTAGGAGTGAAGAGAGGGCAGCTTGAACCTTAGTACAGGGCAGTTGCCCAAGTAAGTATGCACTGCCTGGAGACCTATTACACTGAATTTTGTGCTATTTTCTTTGCTGCTCTCTGCAGCTGAGGCACCAGGCTGACATCTGGAAGAGCAGTCCTGATGCAGGCTGCCATCACCTCTGGCTGTTGGTGCAGGCAGACACAGGCTTGGGAACACACCCTTTCCTCTGCAGTCGTGCCACGGGAATTAGTTATGCAGCAACATGACTGTAGGTTCTGGGGCTTTTAAGCATTATAAAATAAAATATGAAAGTAATAACTGGTTGCTGGGAAAATATTGCAGATTAGCACAACTTGTTCTCTACCTTGACTGTTTTTATATTTGACAAGTATCACTTGCAGAAAAAGGACAGGTTTTATTATAACTCCTTTGTCTACTTCCCTTCCAACTTCCCGAGCACATTTTTCACAGGCATCAAACTACTTTCAGGACAAAATGTTGGTGATTTCTCCAGTGGTGGTGAGAAACGGGGACATGTGAGGGTGCCGTTCCTTGGTGAAAGTGGCAGAATTTCTCACACTCCCTCACTCGTGATCTTGCCTACAAATCTTTTCTAGACGTAAGCTTTTTCTGTAAGGGGAGAAGGTCTAGGTTTTTTGTACCCATTGGCAAGGCACAGAAAAAAAGCATGGACCTTTAATATCAGGCTTCTTCTTTTGCCTTGTCTCAGATCCACAAATGCAGTTCTGCCTTTTTGGACAAATTTACAGATGACGTTATCTCATATATTAAATACCCTACTTTTGTATCCCACTTGCCTGAAGCTATTAACATTGGCAGAATTTATGTCCTTTGTTTATTTTGTGTACTACTTACAGCCTGAATGTTGGACACCAGCCGGTCTAGTTTTTTGCTGGGCTGCAGTAAGAGATAGGGCATGCTTTTCTGTTGGCTGTGTACATGCTCTTGCATCCCTGTCCTGAGGAGACTGTGAGCCAGTATTTACAACAACGATGGAGAAGATGAAATGGCTTCCCTGTGACTGAGCTAAGAGTAGGTCCAATAAGACAGGACTTTGCACACCTTCATCTCTGGAGTGTTTGTGTGACAATCACGTGCTCTGCCTGTGGCACACACCCCAGGGGCTGCAGGCGGGCAGCAGACCCTCCCACTTGCTGTGTTAGATGGGGTGTAGAGGCCTTGGCAGTGCCCAGAGCAGCCAAGAGGAACATTGCTGACTGTGCGTGGGAGCTGGACGCAGCTGAGCCCAGGCTGATGGGGAGCAACGTGGCTGATCTCCACTCTAGAGTTCATCTTGGATCTGGGAGTCGGAGGTCTGGATCTTGTCCATGGCTCTGACACTGAGTCACTGCATGACCTCAGGCGCTCAGATACCATGGTGATGAACACAGCACAAATGTCTAGACAGATAGATTAGATTGAATAGACTCTGTATTTGACAAATATTTGTACATCACCTCGATCAGTACTCCCCTGTTGTACTGGCCTCAGTGGGTCTCCTACACAGCAGAGGAGGGAAGAACTGCTTATTGCACTGAGGAGGGAGGGGACACATAACCACAGTGACACAAGTACCGGTGGTGACAGACGGGAAGTAAAGGCAGCCGTAGGGCAACTCGTAGAGGGAACAGCACTGCATGGCAGAAAGGGTCAGGAGTCAGGAACTGGCTTCTCCCCAGCTCTGCTGCAGCCTTGCGCATGGCCCCATCTTTCCTTCTGTAACCAATTAGTCTGTAAGATCCTCAGGGCAGCGGTGACTTCCCCTTCCTGCTATATCACAAGGCCCTGATTTCAGAAAACAAGACAAACTACCAAAGTGAGGCTTTCTTAAAAGCTTTCTTGTGCCACTGTCAGCCTCTGGTGCAAAGGAGGATGCAGGAGAATTGGCTCTCCCCAGCGTGACTCTGGGTTATTTTCCCACCTGGTTCTCTTGTGGAAGATGAGCATAGAAGTACAACAAAGATGTGGCTAGGAGTGTGTCCATGTAGATATTTTCAGAGGCTCTGCAAGGTCTCCCGAGCACCCCTGCTTCTGGCACCCCAGCCAGGAGTGCTGGAGAAGAGTACTGCCTCTTTAAGGAGATTTGCATAGCAGGGCCTAATTACAGTTGTTGATTCTGATGTTTTCAGTGTTGTTCATATTCCATTAAAGGATAATGCTGCTTAATTTGCAGCAGAGGGTCTCGGTTAACAGTACACCCAATCACAAGGCAGCCCTAATGACACTACTTCCCTACTTCTGGTAACACATAATTAAAAAATCACTTCATTTCCAGTTGTGTGGTTTTCCCCTCTCCCCCAATCTCCTAATTACTTTCTAAGCCATTTCATTATTATCTGTAAATATTTCAGCACTTAGGTCTACTAATGAGTCCATGGAAGAGTTAATACCTTGAGTGGCATAACTGCTTGCCATCCCCTTTCTAGTACTGCATTGCAAGGAATCATTTTCTGCCTTGTATGTATGAGAAGAGGGGCTTTGCTTGTGGTGGGATTATGTTTGTGCTCTGGCTTTGGGGTTGTGGGGCTGACAGGAGAAGTGTAGCACTCAGAAACCCCATGTCAAGCTACAGGAAATTTTTTTCTGGTTTTGATAGCGGGTGTGTTTCTCTCTGCAAATTGTTTTATGTAGCTTAAATCCCACTGAAAGGGCTGTCCTGTTGTCTGGCTAGTCAGAGTGGCTTATGTAGAACTGTGTCTGAGACTGGATCTGTCTGGGATGCCCACACATCTGGAGGAACTGGCTGAAACGGTTGGTTTCTGCCCTGGCTCTACAGGTCTGTGGGAAGTGGTAACACAGCTCCTGCTGCACTTGGGCAAGAGAGGGCAATAGGTCAGGCTGTGACCGCCCTTCGGTGGTGCCTCATCACAAGCCCATCTTGCATGCAGCATGAGGATAGCTTGGTCACTGGGTAAGGGAATATTTGAATTTCCCAGAAGACCTGTGCACAGATGTCTACCACAGCTCCGTGGCTGCAGGCAAGAGGATGTGAGGTGACATGTGACCTGATGCTCATGGTAAAATGGGGAATCTGTTCTCTAATCCAAGCACCTCTCTGGTCTAAAAAGCTACTATACAAATGCTGCTTTCTCTCATCATAGACCTGGTTCCTGTACCTGTCTGGTATCTTGGGTATTCAAATTCACTTGGGTTTTTCAGCTGAGCACTCAGAGCTGACAGAGTGATGGAGGAGTGAGCTGGAGTAGCTTTCCTGCCTATTTGTTGCATGGGCTTGATTGCTATGTTCTTTGTATGGTCAATCAGTAACACCTTATGCAAGCCCACTGGGAGCCTACTGATGGTCTCTGAAGGCATTATTTGGAATAACCAGAAATAATTGTATAACTAGGGGGTAATTAACTTCCAGGAATTAAAGAATCAAGCTTAGACTGCACTACTCCTAGGGGTGAGTCCATAAGGCTGGGAGTTAGAGAAATCTATTCTCCTCTAACCATCTGAGCATATGTGACTTGGAAATCCTTGATACTTGGGGAATGTGAGGCTGCTTCAAATCACATCCATGCATTTCTAGGCAACTCTTTAACATCAGATAAGGGAGGAGGTCTTGAATGTGGTCCTCACCGAGTCCATTTTTATTTCAGGTAACCCTGTCACAGTGGGAATGAGCATCCATATCTCCAGCATTGACCAGATCTCTGAAGTCAACATGGTAAGTTTGGAAAGAAAAAAAAAAAAAAAAAGCCTAATAAACTGTTCTCCCATTTTCTGGTTGAGATGTGCTTCCAAGACAATGGCTCCTTGGAGCCACCTGAGATCCCAGGGTACACTTCTGAAAAGGAGGGTAGTCACACCCCTGCTTCCTTCACCTCCTACTACAGATGTTCCCTGCAGCTGGGAAGTTGTTGGAGAAGGAATGACCTTTGTTTGGTGCTGAAGAAGTATTTTTTTTCTACTGCTTTGGACACAGAATTTTGAGGGGTGATGGAAACTCTAATTCAAGACAGAATTCTTCCTCACTAAGGCATAAGGAATTCAAGGGTAATTTCTTGATGTGATGAAAAAGAAAACCAAACACTTAACTGGGCAGTAGGAAATGAGGTTTTTTTTCCAAATTTCCTTCTCAGCATAGTGGTTTCAGTCTGAACCTTGCTCCTTCCACCTGCTGAGTGGCCTGTGTCACTGGGACTGACTGTCCGTTGTCCCCACAACCTCACTCCAACCCCAGGCTGAAACAATCACTGAAACACTTGCAAGACAGGTATGGCATGTGGGACCTCTGCGGTACACACCTATCCATGGTGATGGTACTTGTGATGTGGTTGGACATGCTGAAAGGCTGTAGTTCACTTCCTAATGCGGGGTAAATTCTAGTAGTGTTAGTGACTGTCCATACAGGCACACTGAAGTATCCCGGGTGTTATCTGTGAATATGTGGATGGGAGGATCTCTGCTGACATCTCTGGGGCTAGTGGCATCTTATCCAGAGTAGATTCTCATCCTTTATACTTCTGTGCTGGTTGCACAGACACCTCTATCAGTCATTAATGCTTATGCCTGAAAAGAGTAGATGCGAATTGTATTTTTCAGTCGACACAAAGGCAGTGGTGGTTTTGCAGTCAGCCTATGCCTGCCAAGTTGAAAAACAGTCAGTGGCTTTTCATGTTTGCCGGTGGTAATTTGACATTTCTTTGGATATCTGTACTGGAAAGGGAGGCATCTAATGGTTACCTGGTTTTGGTTGGCATTGATAGACTGGAACTTTTCATACCACTGAGAAGAAAAAGTTTATCTGCTCACAAAGCAATTGTTTGGGGTGAAATTTGTTGATTATATTGGTCATGGTTTGAGTACACATCCAGGCCTGTGATATCTGTCTCTCAGAAGCCCTTAGCACCCAGCAGAGGACATGGATTGAGCTCATCATTGTCTAATCTTGCCTTCCTCCCTCCTGCCCAGATGCTTTTCCTCCAAACTTCTCTCAAAGAGGCTGCGTGGAGTAGAAGGCTAGTGGGGACTTCCTGGCAGCAGTTGTCTTGTTCCTCAGTTCCTGACCCATGCAGGAGAATCCTAGGCCAGTTTAGAGCTCTTGCTGTTCAAGCCAATTAAAACCTTGGTCTCCCAATGCTCCTGTCCTATTTATCTGTTTCTAGACTCTCCTGCCCTGTTTCTCTGGCTCACCAGCTATTCTGCTGTTGCATGGCAGGGAGGAGGGGAGACAATCTGACTAGCCGTTTTGGTTTCCACACTGCTTGAAAGTCCTGAATGCCTATGTTGATATGACCCAGGGTAAAGGGCCAACCATGAACCTTCAGGTTCTCATATGGAACACTTTCTTTTGCAGACTCTCTGCTATCATCCCACCATTACCAGAATTATCTGCACAGCATGTTACACCTCAGTCCAGTAACAGTGACACTGGACAGTGTACAGTTGGAAATTCAGGTACAAACCTATGCTCCCATTGCATTGGGTAGCTGTGCTTGAGGTTAAGCTCAACTTAGAAGAGCCAGATGGCTTAACCTAGTTCCATCTATCTTGCCTGTCAAGGCAGAGTTCAATTTTGAGTTATCTCCTCCCCCGGTCTCAACTTGGACCTGAATTTTCCTATGTGGCGAACCAGCTGTCACCCTTCTTGCTAGAGCCAGCATGAACAATTGAGGTCTGGACCTGCAGCTTAAGACCTCAGCTTGCACAAACATAACTGGGAAGGAGGGATTTGGTTCCCAGCTTACCTGTAACAACTGTCCTGATCTTCCTCTGCAGACCTAAGACAGATGAGCACTGCAGGGGCTGGTTCAGGGTGAACCTCCTGCTGGAGATGCGTCCATGGACTATAAAAGCTGATCAAGTGCTTTGTTATACGCCTGTTTTGAGCAGCTGTGGCCAGGCATGTCATGTCCTAGGCTAGTAGCCATTCTCTTAGCAACACTTTTCAACCCTCGCCATGTGAATGCAATGCATTCCCTCCCCAGCGAACACCCGCTTCCCTCTGCCGCAGGCTGGCTGGACCAGATGTGTGTGCTTGGGGCTGGGGAGAAACAGCAACAATAATACCTCTGTGGGGTGCATGAGAGGGCAGGTTTTGGACCTTCCTCCATATGCTGCTCTGGATCTTGCAGCATTTGGGCAGCACTGCTGATGAATGTCAAGTGTTTTGATGGCTGTGGCATGGCTGTAAACAGGCTGGGCAGCAGCATTGTCCATGCCATGCTCCCGCTGATACTGTGAAGATGTGTCACTTCTGGGCTTTTGATTATCCCTCCTGGCTATCTGACTTGGCAAGCACAGTCTCCTGCCCAACCTTCCTACATATATTGGGGGGTGGAGAATGGGGGACAAACTGGCTATATGTGAGAACCTACTCAAGATCAAGATCTATAAGCATGCTGAGGTAGCTTCAGAAAGGGGTAAAAAATCAGAATCATCTTAAAGAACAAACATTTAGGGAGCAGACGATTTCTCATGTGCTATAAGTTTCCAGTCTGAAGGGATTTTATGTGCATCGTTCTTCTGTGTGACAGATGCCCTGGGGAAAGGGCTGTGTCTCACCCCTTCTCTGGACATGGATACGGACAAGAAAAACAAGGCATTTTTTGGCATCAAGTGTGATTGGGAAAGGGACTGTGCAACGAATAAATTAAAGACACAAAAGTGAAGCTCAGTTGTCATGGCAACCAAATAGCTTCTATTGTTCCACAAGGAGTGTTATTACTTACTGCCCCTTGTAGGATAATTAATTAATCCTCAGACATCCTTTCGGGAACAATGGCCCTGGTGCTGGGGCTGGGCAGACTGAGGAGAGCCCCTAGTCCTCCCAGGCCTTTCCCTTGGACCTCTTGGTGTCTGCTGATTGTGTGATGGCAGGGAACAAGTGCTGTCAGTGACTAGCCATTGCATGATTCAAAAAGTTGTTTTCCCCAGGACTTCAGCTGGACGCGATGCTATGGAGAAACACAGCTCCACCCATGACCTAAGGAGCACTCCTTGCCTTCACTCCTATGGGAGCTGTATTCCTGAAATGATTACATGGTGGCATTTCAGTCCTGGAGGATTCAGGGCTCTCTGCAAAGGCAACACAGTTATGTCTTCATGATGGAAGTTCCAAGATGCTCTGATATACAGAATGTTTTGCAGCTGCCTGTACATGCTATGTGTTTCCTGATGCCTTGCTATACAAAGTCAATGCATCTCCATCTCCTTGAAGGCCATGCCCAAATACTGTGCAGCTCAGAAGATGGACTCGTTCCAGGATGCAGAACATTCATAGGTACAGTGCTGGCTTTGTAATGATGTCCCAATGATGACGGACCAAAATTATAGTACTTATTTTTAAAAAATGGCACTTTCTCGTACATTACAGCTGCTGCCTGTGTGTGGTCAGCCGTATTTTCTAGCTCACTTGCTAGAGTAATGCTTTATTACTGTGTACTCCTCTTAGCCCTGCTAAGCAATGCTGAGCTGCAGCCTCTGTTCTTGTCAGTGATTAGAAGGATTATTTGCTGAGCCAAGATCAGTGACATCAATTGAAATGCCTGGGAAAAGATGCCAGGGGCCAGGCCAAATAGGTATTGGGGAGGGCACATCTGATTGGCAGACCCTCTGGGAAGTGCTGATCCATGAAGATGAAAGGCCTAGTTGGAGTCTTTTCATATCCTGTATGAATTCACAACTTGGGGATTTAAAGGCAGGCTGAAAGGAGGAATGGCTTCATAATGATGTTCAGTAGCTCAGATGATCTGCCAAGAATGGAAGGATGGTATCTCCTAGTTCTCCTTAAAGGAAATGGGCTGGATAAGTTTCTGGTAAATGCCATTTTGCTACAGGTGGTTCAACTGCAGTAAGCATGGAAAAACATGCAGGTATCTATAGATACTTGGACAGTGCTATGTTCAGACCCAAGTTACTGAGGAGTCCAGCAGTACTTCTGACCCAGGAGAATGAAGAGTACTGGCAGCGTGGAGCTCCAGTCACCCTGCAGCTGAAGTAGCATGCAGGGTTCTGTCCTTGTGGTATGTGGCCAAAAGTCACCGTCAGCTTAATGCTCAAGTTCAACCAACCTGCCCTGGATCCAGTGCTGGCAGTATTCAGTACCAATGGCCTCCGAAGGAGCTGGAAGTCTTCCCCCATTCCTGCGTGTCCTTTCAACAGACAGCTGAGGACTGGCCTGTTCAGGGCACATTGTACTTGCTGTGTGGTGGGACTAGAGGATAATACTCCCAGCTGTAGCCTTCTCTCTATGTAATCTTTGGGGACGTATTTCTCTAGCACCAGACAGTTCAGACTCCATTCAAGCATTAATGAAATATTTCGATAAGGAAAACAACCAGAAGTTTTGTATACCTTTGAAATAAGAGATGGTTATCCTTCATAACGCTTCAATTTTCCTGCCCTATGATCTGTGAAGTCCTAAGCCTGCTCCCTCCCGTGTTTCTGCACACCATAGACAGCTCAAAGCATCCAGGCATTATAGCTGTGATTTCTTTGTGGCTCCTATAATTTATTCATCCCAAGATGCTCCCCTACATCTGCAATAACATTGTTTCAGTTTGTTATAGCACTAGCTTTAAAGTTTTATAAACCTGGTGACATGTTGAAAAGTTACAAGAGGATTGTTGTAGAGGGCTAGTGTAAGAAGCAAGGCTTCCAAATAGAAATGTTTGCAGGAGTGTATGTGTTACGGGAAGGGTGCCTGTGGGATTGGCAAAATAC